AAGAAGAATATATGCAGTGTATTATTTGTTGAAACTGTACTTTCGATTTGATTTGAAACTGTCTCATTGCTATATGTTTATCAATAAAAGTTTGCAAAGAAAAAAAAATAAAACTTTGAAAAGAAAGAAAAAGAAAGCATCTCACTTCTCCATCAAACTTGAAAGAGAGTTTTGCACGGTATAGTAGTCTGGGTTATAATTTGTTTTCATAGAGGACCTGAAGTACTCTGCTCCATGCTCTTCTTGCCTTCCTTGTTTGTGAAGAGAAGTTGGCCATAATTCTGATGGGCTTTCCTTTGAATGTAATCTGCCTCTTTTCTCTAGCAGCTTTCGGTATATTATTCTTGTGCCAAAATCTGGGATCTTGACTATTACATGTCTCATTGTGTTTTTCATTGGATTGTGGTTACTACTTATAGAGCTCCCCATCTATAAGTGATTTCTATATCTATAACATTTAGATAGATAGATAGATAGATAGATAGATAGATAGATAGATAAATATAGATAGATATTTTCAATAGGTAATACTTCACAAATTTGTGTGCCATCCTTGCACAGGGGTCATTCTAATTTTTCTAATTTTTCTCATTCCAATTTTAATGTATGTGCTGCTGACCAAAGTACTATTTCTGATTTTTTTGCCTCTGAAGTTTTGTATTTTGGAAAGACATATAGGTGTTTTCAAGAAGTATGGCCTTTTCCTTTCACTTAGCAGCATGCTAGCTATTGACATATTTTTTGTGGCATTTACTTTTCCTCTATTGTCTTTTAAAGACTGAATAGCTTATTTTCTTATAGTACTGAATAATATTCCATGTTCTGGATATGTTACAGTTTATCCATTTGCTCATTGTAATAACCTTTAAATTCCTCCAATTTTGACAATTTCAAATAAATTTTTTATAAACCCTTCCATGCAGGTTTTTGTATGGACATATATTTTTTATTCCTTTGGATAAATCCGTAGGGTGAGTGCTACAAAATATGGAAGAATCTCTTTAGTTTTATAATATATAAGAAACTGCCTTCCCAAGTATCTATAAGGTTTCAATTTCTTGGTTTTTTTTTCCTATTCCCTTACCCTCCCTTTAACCTCTCTTCCCCTCCTTATTTACAAAATCTTTGTTTCCTTTTTTTTCATTTTCCTCATTTTTGCTATATACTTCTTTCCTCCTCCCCTCAGTTCCCCTTCCCAAGTGAGAATTTTCTTCCTTTTAATAATATCTACTATATGTTTTGGTTCTCATGTACAATTTAGATTTCTCACACCAGAGAAAAAATATATTTTCACTCATGTCTGATATATTTCACTTAAGAGTATAGTCTCAAGTTGCATCCATTTCCCAAGATACGTCTCAAATTTATCCTTCTTTAATGCTGAACAATACCTCATTATATTAAAATAGCACATCTTCTTTGTCCACTCATGTACTGATGGGTATTTGGGCTGTTTGCAAGATTTACTTATCAAAAACTTTGCTTCAGAAACACATGCATATGCATATATCACTCTGGTAGGATGCTTTTCATTCTTTCAGAATTAAAAAACAGAACAGCTGGGTCAAAAGAAACATCTAGTTTTAGAGTTTAGTTTCTTAAGAAATCTCCCCATTATGGGACTGTGAGTGATTTCCCAACATCAAAATGTTATGGAGGAGATCGCATCTGCATTGGAGGAGAAGAAAAGAGAGGAGCATTTTACTTCAAAATAGAGATATGTAAAAAATGTGGGAAAAAGTGCAAAACTTTTTAGATAAGCAATACCAGAATAAAGCGGTGTCAGTGCAAGCAATAACTCTGTTGAAAGACAATGCTATGGAACATTTCCACGAAATCTTCAAAAGGAACATAAACAAATCTCATTGGACAGGTTTCTTGTTAATGTTGCACAAATCAAAAATACTCATTTGCACCAATATATAGCAATTCCGTTAGTAATAGTGAGCCTTTCTACACAGTCATCCTCCTCTCATCTCCCTCACACAAGACACAAAGGTTTTCAAAGGTAATTGGAAAGGTAAGTTCTTTTTATTTTGTATTTTACTATTTCAAATAATAATAATGTAATCACTTTATATGGATGTGTTTGGGCTTTGGAATTTGTCATGTGAGTCTTGCTTCCATTATTTCTCAAGGGGAAATACACTTTGATATATGAAAGTGCTTTGGATTCCAAATTTCTTTCTGAAGTGAAGTATGCTTGCAAATCGAGGTTTTACTATATTTTGTTTAGAATTTTTGCATCCTCGTTGATTGAATATCTCAGTTACTTTCTTCCTTTTTGAGAAGAAAATACCCAACATTCACTAGTAAAGTGAGGAAAGATTTGTTTAGCTCATAGTTTGTAGACCTTTCAGTTTATAGTTGGTTAGCTCTAAGGCAGGGTGATATGGAAGAATGGCATATCAGAGGAGAAACCATTCATGGCAGCAGAAAGCAGTGAAGTACCAAAACAAAAGCAGCAGAAACAAGTGACCACAGCACCCCTCGTTCTGTATATTATATTCAATGAGCCTTGGGCACCATGAGTAGAACTTACACCAAAGGAGTATCTTTCCATTATCTACTCCCAGAATTATACCAAAAGAATCAACGGGCTAATTTAGTAATCATGCACCCTTGATTCCACACTTAATCCCAGCATCACACACTGTAGATGCAGCCACCTCTGAAAAGTCTCACCTATGACTATTTAATACCTATTCAGTCTCCTTACTCATATTTTAGTTTGCTCTGATTTTCTTTTTCTTCATAATTCAGTCTTAGGAGGTAGGTTTTATGTGTGAAGGAATTTAATTATTCCTTTAGTTTATCCAATTTTTCAGCACATAATTTCATAATAATCTCAAAATGTGCTGTACTTCTGTAGAATTAGATGTAATATAGTCTTTTCTTTTTCTGAATTTTTATTCAAATCTTTCCTTTTATTTGTCTGGATAAATGTTTGTTTATTTTGTTTACCTTTTCAGAACCTCACTCTCAGTTTGCTGATTTTTTTGATTAGTTTTTCTAGTTTCCATTTCATTTATTTCTTGTAAGACAAATGTGATAACCACTACACTACAGAAACCACTTTTCATTTATTTTTATATGCATTTACTACAACCATTATTATATGATTTAGTGTGCTCTTCCCAATTCTTAATGTGTAATTAATGTTAGCTTGTTTATATTATATCTTTTTTCTTCCTTATATAGATATTTATTACAATAAACTTTCATCTAAGAATAAAATACCACAGGTTTTTGTATGTTATGCTTCCATTTCTGTTTGTTCAAGAAATTTTCTTCTCTTGGTACTATGAACTGTCCCGAGGCCCTACACATTGAGCTACATCCTTGGTGTTTTCTTGAAATGTTTGATTTTGAGACAGTATTTCAGTAAGTTACTAAGTTGTTAAAGAAGGGCTCCAACTTACAATCCTCCTGGCTCAGCCTTCTGGAGTTCTGTGATTACAGATGTGCATCATCATGCCAAGGTTCAAGAAACTTTTAAATTTCTATTTTAATTTCATGATTTTTGTTCAGGAGCATATTGATTAATTTTCATGTATTTCTTAAGTTTCTCAAATTCCTTTTGTTATTCACACCTAGTTTTATATTATGATGATCAGAAAATTCATTTGATATTATTCTAAACTACTTTAATTTGTTAATTTTCATTTTGAATATTTTTGTTCTTGTGTCTTCCTGTGGCAGGGATACTTGGGGACCTGTGCTTACTTCTCATTTTCCCCCATGGTAACAGTATCTCTCCGTTCTGTGTTGCCTGGGGGTTGGGAAGGGTGATTTAAAACTGCCTTCTTCAAAGAATCTTTTCTTATTATTTTGCTACTGGTAAGTGCGATAATCTTTCACCTAGTTTCTCTTGCTCTTTTGAAGGGAATTTCATATGTGGATAGTTGTTCAAACTGATGTTTCTCCCAGGGGAAGAATAACTGGAAAGACTTATTCTGCCAGCTTGCTTTGTTCTTTCCTCTTCTCTGTCTCTCTCTGTCTCTGTGTCTCTCTTTAATCATAAAATAAAATGAAAAACTTGATCCATTACAAATCTCATAGGGTTTGTGGGATGAGGCTTTCTCAGTTTTCAGCAGAAGCAAGTGGCTCAAGCCTCAGGAGCCTCATGTCCTGTGGGTAACTGTGGAGGTGGCCGCAGGTGAAACAGTGGGTAATATCCTTTACTTTGATCTGAGAGGAAATAGAGTCATAAACTCTTGTGTATTTTTTTAAATAATGTAGGCATTTTTGTAGGCCAATGGCAAAGTGTCAAAGCTTAAGTTTATGGCTTTCTGATTCTTTGGCTTGTTTCAAGGATAAGATTTAGAATCTCTAAGAGAGATGGATTTTATATCCTTCAAAATATTTATATAGAGGTAACTCAAATATATCCCTCAACTCAGGAAAAATTAGTGGAAAAGCATAGGTGAGAGGAAATGGTGCTAGATAGCTCATATAGGCCCAAAGTTTTTGTTAATGACTCAGAACTGAGGTCAAGTGTCAAGTTCTTCATAACTTGCTATGTACAAATATGAAGACAAAGTAGTTTTTTTAATTATTCACCTTATAGCAAATCTCCAGAATTTATATAACATACATAAGGAGTCACTAGTGTAATCCTTGAAGAGAATTCACAGAAAAGAAGAGAAATGTGGCATGTTTCACTCCTATGTAGAAGAGTTTCAAGAGAAGCTATTCATAAGATACTGTTTCTTAAATAAGAAGCCACATATTCTCATAGACATGTCTAATGTGACTTCTATAGTGTTTAATTCAGAGGCATTTTAATAAATGTTTAGCAATTTGCTTTCCAGGAGTGGGTATGGGGAGGCTAATTTATAACATATGTTGATTTCTGTGTGGTAAACACTCCCATAATGTCAATTTTAAGCTAAAAGTCTAGAGTCTCTGATGTGACACTAAGAAATGAAGTGTATAATCAGCTCTTAACTCCATAATATTACCACTTTTCTTATATTTATGGTCCTCAATGTATCACACTTTATGAATTCAGGCCACGCTCTATTTTGTAGTACTGGGGATGCAACCCAGGGTCTTTCACATTCCTGTCAAGTTCTTTACTACTTATCCACACCTTCAGCTATTTATACCCTTTGGAGAATTCTTCCTTACCATCTCTGAGATTATTATGTGACTGTATTTCTGACATGGGCAGTCAACAAGGATGGCACAAGCAAAATCTTAAAATGTACTTCTATCAAAAAAGAAAGTACTTACCATTTGGAATGTTCCCTCTTTGAATGTTACATCATTGGAAGAAGTCTGACATTGCGCACTGGAAGGTGAGTGATTTCTTGGAATTATAAGGCTCAGTCAGTATCAAACACCAGTAGCTAGACATGTTTGAATAGGGTCACCTTATGTCATCCAGCCCTAGTCAATCCCTTAGATGACTATAGCAATATAAGTTACCACAGATCAGAATAGCAGAAAAAATCATCCACGTGTGGCAATTCCAAACCACTGATCTGCAGAATTTTGAGCAAATAAAATAGTCATTTTAAGATCCTAATGTCTGAAATGTTTTAACTTACCAATTTTTCATGCAGTAACAGATAAGTGATAGACCTTACATGTGTTTCCAGGAGTTTGGGATGCACAAGAGG